TGGATCAACCTGCCAGTAGTCACCAGTCACCAAAGCTTCTCCTTCATGATCATATTGTTTGACAGCAATCTGGCTGTACTCAAAGTGATCGTGTTGTGAATAGAAACTTTTGACTTGTGGAGTCTTGAAATGAACTTGGCTCATGTACCATGCTACATCTTGTAGGTCGAGAATAAGATGAGTACTGATGGCTGTCCTCAAAACCATTTTTCTCATGCCAATACGTGCACAGGACAAGTAAGCCTTCTCTGGAGTAAGTTCAAATTGAAATCCAAGGTTTCTCATCTGGGGAAGTGACATCAACAGTGGGACATCACCTTCTTCGACAATGTCGAATTCTGTAAACTGAGTGTTCCATCCATGATCATACATGAATATCACGAGCTTCTCAGTACATTTTGATTGTTGTGAGTTTGCAAAGAAAAATCTTGAACTTGTTGGCTGAATTTCATACCAGAGTCCACTGTTGGGATGTGAGTCAACATATCTGCAAAATGCTTCAACTGCTCGTCGAGAGCCCATAGCTCTTGTGCATCCAAGATCCAGAATACACACAGTTGGTGGTGCAGAATTCTCTGTGTGAAAAGTTAGTCCATTCTCACATGCCAGATCAGTTTGTACAGTATGAAATGAAAAAGCACTCTGCTGTGATGGTTCCTCTATCTCTGTAGAGCATCCATGTGAAAACAATGATGTGCCTTCTGCCAATGGCTTCCATGAAGCCTCACCTTCTTGAAGACCAACTTGCCTGGGCACTACAGCTGGACGTTGTTGTACACCTTGTCGTAGTGCACCAACTTCTCCAACCAGAACAGGGAATCTCTTCATTTCTCTCCTGTTTTGATGTGCTCTTGCATCACGTTGGTTCTGTCCTCCACGGCGAGTACGTCGTTGTTCATCTTGTGCTGCATACGTGGATGTCAAAACATCAACACGTGCTGGCTCTGTCTCTGCAACATCAACACGTGCTGGTTCAGTTGTTCCAAATGAAAAGAAACCATGACCAGAACTTGAAGCTGCAGAAGAATAATGAGCTTGTTGAGTTGGTTGATTCTGTATGGCAGGAGCTGATGTGGTCTGAGGTTGAACATAGTTCGACTTGCCTTTTCCATCTCCTGGCTTTCCTCCTTTTCCATCATCATCCTTGCCTTTCTTGCCTTTCTTTCCTTTTCCTTTTCCTTTTCCTTTCTTCTGGAAGTATCCATACTCATCCATGTAGTACAGATCATCATAGGCCCAATAGCCTTCATTCCAGGTTTGATCATCGGCCCAATAGCCGTCATAGGTTTCATCCCATTCATCTTCTTGCCATTCATCTTCATAACCTTCTTCACTCACCATGTGAGCGCGGCCTTTTCTTCTTCCTTTACCTCGGCCTTTTCCTTTTCTTGATCTGAAGAACCTTCGTCCTCCTCTGCCTTTTCCTTTTCCTTTTCTCTTTCCTTTACCTTTGCCTCGTCTGCCTTTTCCTTTTCCTTTTCTCTTTCCTTTACCTTTGCCTCGTCTGATGTATTTGCCTTGGAACCTTCTCTGATACCATGTGAAGTTGGCGTCATCATAAACCCAGAAAACATCTTCTAAAGCATCCAGGAATCCTTCTGCGCCGTCTTCTTCATCTTCGGCCCAATAGCCGTCGGGTCCTTCTAATTCACCTTCATCCAGTACGAGGAAAGATCTTCTCTGTGCCATGCCAGAGGGTTGCATCAATGGATTGTCAACTGCTGTTTTGGTAGTGCAAAACATTTCCAAAAACAGGTCACGTAGTTCTTGAATGTTGTATCGATCGAGGGTTCGTCCACGATGTGTCATGATACTTGTGAGTGTGTTTCTCTGATCTTGACTCAGGTCAGCTAGACTTACAAAAATCAATGCTAGCAAATTTTCACCCAGTGGGAATGCTTGTCGCTGTACTTGTCTACGATTTTCCTGAAATTGTCTGAATGCCGCTAGTGCCAGTTCATCTGTCCAAGGAACAGCTACATGGGGTGTTCCTGAGGCTGCTGCTACTTCAGCTCTTTCTTGTTGATCTCGTTCATGTTCTTGACGTCGTTGTTGAACAAACAGGATTGCTTCAGGACTAGTCACTGTTACTTCTGGAAGTAAATCCATCCAAGACTCAATAAGTCTATTGCCAGTGAGTTGAAATCTAGTCATCCACTTCTGAAGATCCATGGTTCCTCTGTTGAACTTCATGAACTGCATGAAACGGTATAAGAACACGTTCTGGGCACCTTTGATAAAATGAGGTCGTAGAAATCTTTTGAAATAGTGCACTCCTTCATGGGGATCCCTGAGTAGTTCTCTATCCAATAGCCTCTTGTATTGTTGAGCATCTCCTTCCAGTCTGTTGCGCAATGCTGAACCACGTTTCTCTGGTTCTAACTCCGTAATGTCACACCAGTCATCAATTGCATCCTCAAAAGCAAAGAAGCTGGTTCGCCCATCATAGGCTGGAGCAACCTTTGTGGTCATCTGTTGCGTCATATGAATCTGTGTATGCTGGGGTGCTCTTCTCATTGCATAAGAGTCATATTGGTTCCATTCATTTGCATCGACAATGTCGAAGTCATCATCATCATAGCCATGGCTTGCCATTTCTTGGGCTCTACCTGGAGCTCACCCTCAATGAGGGATCACTGCTCCGCTACCACTTGAAGAGGGGCCCTAGCGTCTACTTCAAGATCAGCTAAGGCGTCTTCCCCAATGACAGCACTCTTTTACTCTCAGCCTGTTGCCGGTCAGTGCTTGTCTACAGGGTTACTCTATATACCTCTTTCTTGAGCCTTGAGGGCGCATATAAATGTGCTCAATACTCATGCATGTACCTATGTAGGTATTAGGTCGAAACAAAAACAAGGGCTCAGCGCCTCCCCCCAAAGCAGAATGCAAGCACCTCTTCTCACATGTTACGTTGCTAGATTTCAAGAGAAGGTTGGTCATGTGATACTCAGGGATGTAAATACTGTGCAAAATGCATCTTACATGAAAATCAAGTATTTAAAGCAGGCAAAGCAAAAAAAAAACAGAGAGAAGCAAAAAAGCAGAGAAGCAAAGAAACAGGAAACGCACAAAAGCAAAACAGCAGAAAGGCAAAGAAGCAGGAAAAGCAGAAAAGCAGAGAAGCAGGAAAAGCAGGAAAAGCAGAGAAGCAAAGAAACAGGAAAAACAGAAAAGCAAAAAAGCAGAAAAGCAGAGAAGCAGAGAAGCAGGAGAAGCAGAAAAGCAAAAAAGCAGAAAAGCAGAGAAGCAGGAGAAGCAGAAAAGCAAAAAACAGAGAAGCAGAGAAGCAGGAAAAGCAGGAAAAGCAGGAAAGCAGAGAAGCAGGAAAAGCAGAGAAGCAGGAATCCAAAAATAATTCCTAAACCTGATCAAAAAAAAATCCTAAAATAATTAGCCCTCCGGCTCCAATGCTCCAAGCACCTTGTTTTTGCTGGGCTCCGGGTTTCAAAGAGCTTGCTCAAAGCCGCCATTTCGTACAAATGGCCCTAAGCAACACGGGGCAGCATGCCAGCGATGTCCCCAACAACCAACAGCAAGCATTAGGAAAAATTGCAGCCACCTTCAAATCAGACTTCTCGTCACTGGCCCACCCCTCTTTGTCTGTAGGTGATTGCTCGGCGAGCAAGACCGAACTCTATCAGCTGGAGGCAAGGCGTATTGGATTTCATGCAACCGAGAACTTCTGATCCATACATCACTATGCCCAACCATTCCACACAACATGGACGACATTCTGATGGCCTTACATATCTATACGAATATCTTACATTAAACTGCTTCTGCAACATGCTAAACATGCTAAACATGCTAAACATGCTAATAAACATGCTATATGGTTGAATATTGTTGACGTTGATCGCCGAAGTTCAGGCCACTGGTGACCTCATGGAGAACACATCCCATGACCTTTCCATGACGGCACAGGGCCCTCAACTGTACCTCTACAGCCTCAAAAAACGTAACTGTACAGAAATCTTTAGTCATTTAGATCATCAAGAAGTAGTTTGATGCGCAAAAAAGTAAAGGCACACCTTCCCCCCAGCTGTTCCAAAAGTTTGAGCAGGAGTCCGTCTTTCAGACCCCTTGCAGCTCAAGCATCGGCAGCACTTAAAAGCAAAGAGCTGGGATCCGGAAAACACTCTACAGTCGCAATGCTGGGGTTCAAGATTGGTTTCAACATGTTTACAATAACGAGCTAGCTTGGCATCACCTTTGAGGTGTGTGAGCTTCGGCACACCTTCACTGTGCATGGCATGTGTGCTTTTTGACTGTTGAATCTGTTGAAACTCTGGCATATCATATGATATTACTATATATAATATATATATATTGATTTACATATCATATGTCCATAGATACATCCCAGGATTCATGGGAATTTCTGCCTAATGGACTGCCAGCCCACCGATCTGTTGACCCCACATTCAGTGACATCTTGTCAGCAACTTGCAGAGCTGTGGGAGCCTATCAAGGATGGCTAGTTACTGCTAGTTGCAAACGCTGGTTTCCGTAGAGTCCAGACCTTGGGTCGTCTCCTACTATGCTGCAAAACAAAGTCGTGGACGTTGCAAAGCCCAAGTGCTATCTGACAAATCTCATCAGGGGTAGATGGAGATGACGATAGATGACGTTAGCCAAGATTCTTTGAAAGTGGCATTGGGCATAGAACAAAGAGGTCAATGTCTGGATACAAAGGCCGCAGCACCTGCGAATTTTCGTGCAGCCTTGAATCACCGCCGATGTTCGCTTGGTGGCCAAGGACAGAAAATGACATGACAGCACCTTTTCCCGGGGAAACAAAGGTCACCGGAAACGCTTCTGAAAGGAAAATCATGAGCGCAGAGTCGTGCTCGCCACATCACAACTGAAAGCCGCAGCTGCTTTTTCTGAACTCTGGGAATCTTGGCCCCTCTATGCATCAGCCAAGCCTGTATCACACAACGGTAGCAGAATAAGCTATAAGCTATGCGTGATACCATGTGATACCCGGTATCTTTTCAACTTGGCTTCCAGTGTTGGATCCTGGCATTCGCCGCGCTACTACACAAGGCTGCAAAAGCACTCGGAATCAAGCTCCCATCCCACCCATGCCGCCGTGACCTTCGCATCTTGCAACACATCCAGATCATCCAGGACAACTGATCGCTCTTGCAATGCTGAACCGGCAAGAATGCATGCCGAGAATGCCACTATTCATGGCTTTGAACCCAACCACCATACATTCATATTTACATCCAAGTAATACGGCCTTCCCATCTCGTAAAATGCTGTCTCAAGCACTTGCCATTGCAACTTCATCCAACTTTAAGGTCTCATCAGTCTCAGAGCCCGACTTTGCACTTCGAAGTCTTTGTCAGTGGCGTCTGAATCTGAGCTTTGCGGGGCACCATCGTTTGGCTCCACCACGACTGCCGGCATGCTCAGCTCCTGCCATGCACGACTGAAAGGCTACCAAAGGGCGACCAAATCTTCGAAATGTTCGAAGCCCTTTCCATATCTTTCCATGAGAAGCATAGAATAGTATGGAAATGTATGGAAATGTATGGAATATCTGCAGGTTCCATAGCTTCCATAGCTGAAACTGCGAATGATGTTGTGAAGAGACAGTCTTCCAATCCCACACCATCTCCTCAGACAACTCGGTATCCTCACTATCCAGCGCGCTCGCAGCAGCACTGTCTAGCACCAACTCCTTAGTTTTTTTTGCTTAACTCGAACCACAGAGGTAGAATTTCTCAATATCTAGTTCACAGTGTCATCGACATGTTGGGAACGTTCACACTTAATCAACAGCACCTTTGGGTAACAGCAAAGCCCGGCAGGTTTTTGATCAGCACTTGAGACACGGGGCCGAGGCCGATCCATCGTAGTACATCTCGGACTTCCGTAATGACCAGCCGGTGTCCGGGGAAAGCTTCGGCTGTGACCTGGCGAAAAAATCATCGAATCTCAAGACGTGTGAAGACTAAGTGACTATGGACATGGGTCATTAAATGTCCCCATTTTTCACATCACCCAACCATGAATGGTATATGGTCTACTAGATGGCTACTATTTTGGGTGATGTCCAATATATCCCAAAATGGGACAGTTACCAACCCCTGATGGAGTTTCACGGAAAGAGTTGACCAGTGCTAAATAGTGCTAACAGCTAACAAGTCGCCTCTGAGTTGCAGTGACCGAGGGGTTTTTCCCTACGTTTTTCCCTACGTGGCGGCACCTCTGAACCATCTCACCGTGCTCATCTTCCTCCATAAGGATCAAGTCCTGCGACCAGGTGACCAGGACCTTGAGCTACATAGAGCTACTAGCCTCTTGTTATTTAACATAGCTATGGAAAATGACCCATTTATAGAAGATTTTGTTCATTAAAACCTCCATTTATGGTTGGGATTTTCCATGGCTATGTTAAATAACCAGATGGTAATGAGGATATTACAAGATCTTCATACAAGAAACGTCTCATAAGAGCATCTCAAAAAAGAGTTTTCGGACAAGCACCTCCAGTGCAGGTCATCTTCAAGAATCTTCATGCAAGGACCTCTTAGAGATAGGACCGGCTAGGATGTCGCCAGGATCTCCGCTAGATCTTCTCAGGACGTTTTTTTGATCATACAAGGACTTCCTTCCTGTACAGGATTTCACCACGATATTCACCAGATTATCAGAGTCGACAAGACCTTGGTCAAGATCTTCAGAAAATGGGACCTTACGAGCAGTCCATTATATAAACATATTAAACTCTGGCATAGAAGGACCTTCCTGAGAACTCATAAGTCACGCCCGGATCTTTGAGATGCAGCCAAAATGAGCACCGCGTCACGAAGAGACCCTAAGGCACACACAAAGTGACGAGAGGGTTGTGCCAGCGATATCAGAATAAGCACCGCGCCACAACGAGAGCGATTTGACATGCACAAAGTGACCACAGGGTTGCGCAAGCACATGTTAGAACCTCACCCGGTACGGCGTGCACCGCGAAAAATGAAAGTTAAGAAGGTAAAAAACAATGATGTTTTACCATTTTTACCTATGTTTCAATCATTTTTCGGCCGATGTCTCTAAAGTACCGCGCCTGCCGGGCCAAATGATCACCATGCACCAAATGTTGCCAAATCAAGAATGAGGACAGTTTCACAAAACGAGAATTTCGAAATCTTAAAAAAAATCGCCAAGTTCACTAAACACTAGGCCCGCCACGAAAAAAGACTGCCGAAACAACCTCTTATATCGACCCACACCTGCCAACTTTTTAGCAATGTGCTCAATGCCACCAAATTCGCAGGACCCGGAGACCACCAGGCCTGAACCACTGTAAAACGCCGTAAAGCCAAGAATACACTGGGGAATGTTCATGACATGTTATGAGTTATATCACTTTGTCATATCACTTCTGATCATTTCATCTCAATTCATGTCATGATGATGTTTCATCACTCCATCTCACTTTATACTTCATCTCATCCCTGCGTTTCATCACTTTCTTTTTTCACTGCTATATAAAAAATGCTTCATTTCATCTTAGGCTCCTTTCATCAGTCAGTTTATGTCAAAAAAACGGCCTTCTCTCCTTTCATGGCTTTGATGATTTCATCGCTTCCGATATCATTCCATATGGTCCATATCATGACTCATCACTCCCTTCCCAAAAATCACAAAATGTTGGTTTCATCACTAAGAGTTGGTTTCATCACTTCTGTCCTTCATAGTTTCCATTGTTAAAAACGACTTCTTTGGTGTAATCACGTTGCTTTGCCACTTTGTTTCTCACATTTCCTTCATCATTTCATGCCATCACTGAATTCATTCATTCAGAATCCTTCACCACTTCATAACTTCATAACATGACTTCGGATCTTCCGTAGGTCTTTGCCTCGCCCTGCCTAACAATCAACTTGATCTGTGGCTTCCACTTCCCTGCAGTCCTTTCGTGTTATGATTCCACCTCGGCACTCTGATCATCTGCATTTGGTGCTGACAACATACCAAATGGGTTCAAGTACCCTCTGGTTATTTAAACATAGCCATGGAAAATCACCATGCTATTAATAGCTAAACCATCTATTTCTATGGGCCATCTATACCATGGCTATGTTAGTCATAACCAGAGGGTATCAAACTCGGTGTCATTTCACCGTAAGCCGGGACACAGAGGTCACCATCAGAGTCCACCACAGGCAAATGTCGTAGGCCCATTTGCCGAAACAGCATGAAAGCGCTTGCCATTGAAGCCTGTGGCAAAATGCTGTAGCCATTGCAGCTCGCATACCTCAGCCAGCTTGCACCGCACTGGAAAAAAATTGCGACGTCCTGTGCTATTGAAAAAGTTGTAACCCGTGACCAGACTCAGACTCTGGACTCTGACTCTGGGAATCCATCGGTGCATTCGGTGCCTAGCTGCGGGCGCAAGTCCATATATTTTTGCCTGTCTGGAGCACTCAACTTCTTCCGAAGCGTCTTCAGGTCTGGATAGGAGTGGATGTTCGGCCAGGCAATGGCCTCGGGGGGCTGAATTTCATGCTGTCCTCTTCCCCTAGAAACATCTAGATACCTGAAGCAAAAAAAAACAAAACGCCGTTATTAAAGCCCACGCATGCCGAAACGTCGGCTAGGAGAAAACTATCTAACATTATTGAAATATATTGAAATTATTTAACTAATTTACCATCTGGTTATTTAACATAGCCATAGAAAATCACCATTTTTAATGGGTAAACCATCTATAAATGGGCAATTTTCCATGGCTATGTTAAATAGCCAGAGGGTATATCTATTTATCATAGAAACCAAAGATCCCTCGCCTCGAAAGGCACCAAAGAACCAAGGGGAGCATCGGGATCATCCTGGAACATCCCGTAGTAGTGGCCTCATGAATCAACTCATGAATCAAGAAACCCCAACTCGGACCTATAGAAACATCTGATGAAATCTGCTTGTTTCACAATGAAAAAAACATAAAAGGCTATGCAGCACACCGCGATGCGAGTTTACCAGTTTATGTCTCTAGAAGAGACATCTTTGTAGAAAAACTTGGCTCACTCGAGCAGCACCTGCCACAATACCCTCAACTTGGCCCCCACCTCTGGCCAACAGCAAATGCAAGAAGCCACGCTCGATCAACCCCTGGACACAACAACCATGAGATTCGATGAGAGCAGAAAGAAATGCTTTCTGCATTGGCAAACTCTACCCTCTGGTAAACTAACATAACTATGGAAAGATCCACCCATTTTGAATGGGAAAACGTCACTATTTCTATGGCCATGCCTCCATCTTCTTGGTGCCATTCTCCAGCACAGGAAAGCCATTGTGGTGGCATGAGCCCAAAATATCCACAATCCGTTGGACCTTCTCAACTGCTTGCAGGCACACCACCTCAAGCCACATGGTGAAGATGGTGAAGATGGCTACCCACATAGTCTCACATGCTGAAGAAAATAAAAACTTACCGACTTACCGTCATCAGATCCTGACTCCTTTGATTTAAATGGTGCCGGCACAAAGTTGTTGTTTGGGATAATTTCTACACAGGCGATAAGCAATGTAAGCATCAAGCAACACATGAGAAAACATGCCATAAGGGCCATAACAAAATATGCAAAATGCCAACGAAATTAAAGAAAGGTAGCATTCCTGCGATTCTTTCAGCATTCTTGGTACTATTTGGTGGTGCACATCGCTGCACCTCACTGGCCATGATGTCCTTCACTGCGTAGCGAACCATGACGTCCGCAGGAGACTGCTCCAGGAGCGGGATCTGTTTGAGCTCGATGATGTGAAGATCGTAGATCCCACGAGTAAACACGTCGCCTCGTCAGTGGGAGTGAAATCGTTCGACCAATGCCATCATTCAAGCCAGTGGCCAGCAATGTGCGCCGTCTCACATGTTTGGTCATGTTTTCAGACTTTTCAGTGAGGCGCTCAGGCTCTCTACAACCATCAAATGATCAAAAAGCCTAAAAACTCGACAGATTCGCTTCATAGATCTAAACAGATAACAGACTCGCTCCCTGAGATAATGCTACTCCTCCACACAATCATCCGAAGGTGGTGGCTGCAAACTTGCAGCCAACACCTAGGTCACACGTTCACACGTTCACACACTTCACACATCACGCAGCGCCTACCCAGGTTGCAATCACCACGACCATGAAGATGGGAAGTCCAAAAATGCCTGTGCCAGTTGCTTCTGTCAAAATCATCGCCAAAGAAATTGTTATCCTGGCGCCGTGCCATATGTGCCATGAGCAAATTTGAATGCAAGTTCCTCTTGAAGCCTCATGACACGTCAAAAACGCATCTTGCAAATCAATGATATCATCATATACCCTCTGGTAATTTAACGTAGCTATTGAAAATGGCCATTTATAGTGGATTTTCCCATTAAAAACGGTGATTTTCCATAGCTATGTTAAATTACCAGAGGGTATCATCAATGGAGATGAAGATCAAGTGAACAGAATTGAACAGAATTCAACACAATGGAGGCTTCTCTTTGTCACTCCTCCCAACTCCGGCCAGCATAGCACATGCTCCTACCAAGGCATAGATTCCAGGATGAGCAGGTCCACCCACGGCCTAAGTCGCTTTTGGAGCCGTTTGGGCCCCTTGTCCGACATGAATTCACCAGAATTCACCATAATTCGCCTAGCCGAGCCTTAACATAGCATAAACAACCCCCGCAATTTCTGTGCAACCACTGAGTGAACCCTTCCTCATGTACCTGGACCTACTCATATGAGCGTCTTGTCACATTCCAAGCGTAATGCCGGCCCTGCTGGCCGCAGGTTTCTTCACACTGGGGCCCCATCACTGGCTGCAGCTGCCGACCAAGGCCTGACTGTTGCCTGACTAAGGCCCTTGCAAGTGTCGCAGTACCGGTGGCCATGGCGACGGTGGTTGTCGAGGTGGTGGTCTGTTTCAGAAGCACTTCATTGCCACGAACTCCAGGAAGAGAAAAAGGAATACAAAACAAATGATACAAAAAAAAATGAAAGCTGTTGCAGGCATTGTGCTAAGGATTCTTGTTGACATTGTTGTCCTTCAGTATATCTTTGCGAAGCCAAATCGGTCAGCAACTGCTCAGGCTGCACCTGGGAGTGGAGGAGATGAAGTACTTCTCCCACAAAGCGGCCAATGACAGCTCCACTCAGCAATGAAGGCACAAATAGCCCTGCAGGAACTCCCAGCCCAAACCTCGGCTGTGGCAACTGTGGACCTGACGTTGCGGCAGATTCATCCTTGTGGCCCCAAACAAAATCCTAGCATGAGAGTGACATGATCACACAAGCATTAGCAAGGCGTGTTAACCTCTGGCCCTTGAGGAAATGTCAACAAGGAAATGATCAAAACAGAACAGAACAGAGCATCAATCACTGAATCATTGGACCCCCCATTCTGGGCTGGAACGACTGACACCTGGCCGAGGGACGTCCAGCATGTGGTCATTAGATTGAACAGGGCAAAGAGGATCAGGAGGCCATATTCGTCAAATGCTTTGTCTACATCGTTGTGAAATAGATCCCCTGCGCAAAAACGACGGTTTCGGATGACAGTTTTCGGGCAAAAAAAAATCCGGGTGACTCCGTGCAACTCACTGGTGCCAAAGTTTGCCTGGTCAGATTTGGTCGTCGAGTAACAGAATAGAAAACGGCAAACAGTACCAGGCAGTACCAGGCAGTACCAGTATCGAGACTTCAGGTCACTTCAGGTCACTTCAGTTCACTTCATATCATCTTAGCCGCAAGGGTCATGAAGGTCACAACTGGACCAAGGCACTGATGGATTTTTGCCCTCCCTCAAGCCACAGCTGCTGCGTTTCAGACAGCTCGTCGAAGATCATCGGTTGCCAGCCTGTTGGATGCCGCCCGGGCCCCATGTTTTTTTCTATCGAAAACAGAAGCAACGCAACTCCTGCGAACTCCTGCCTTGACCTTTGATGGCCAGGAACACCGCAGGCACCCAGAACTTTAAGGAGGCAATGATGAATGTCACGCAAAGGACCTGGCAATGAGCTGGAGGTAGGCTTGCAGGCCCCAAGGACCCCCACAGCTATAGATATTCAATGATTTTCATAAGTTAAATGGGAGTAAAATGGATTTGAATACAACATCAATGCTATAACCGGCTATAATGAATACATCTAACAGTGAAACAATCTTGGATATACATGCAAGTAGGTGAGGCGCAGTGAAGCCAAGAATTTGTCAGGACCTGATTCCTAGGTCGACATGAAGCTACTTGGCGATCCGACGACCCAGCACAGCCGGCCCGTCAGGCCCGTCAGGCCCGTCAGCTCACCTCCAGAAAGCGCTTGCAGCCAGTTGGGCCGATGCGACGTTTACGCCACCTGCGACTCAGAGTTGCAGATTTTTTTTGGTTGACTCAGAGTTGACTCAGGCCATGTCTCGAAATCTATACGGTCTATGGATGTCTATGGTTGGTTTATAGGTATTGTTTGACATCTCAAGTGATTTTCTGGTGTGATCGCAGCCCACCATAGCCCACCTACTGAGCAGTCCATTCATGTGGTTGAAGAGAGCGCCGAGCAAACCACAAAGGATGCCAATGAGGGCAAATATAAACATCTCCACAATGTTATACCTTGTTTGTTGTGCGGCCAAAAAAACCACGGACCAAGAGCAGAATTCTTGAAGTGACAAACTGGCTTGGCAAAAAGGGAATTCTTTGGTCAAATTCATAAATGGCAAAAGTCTGCCTGTCTGACAGTCCATCTATCCGTATTGTTCTTCCATCTGTAGATCCCAATGCCACAAACTCAACAAACTCAACAAACTCAAAACAACCAGAAGCTTCACTAACGCTTCACTAAACGCTTCACTAAACGCTTCGCCATGAAACGAAACCTCAGTGAATCTGCCAAAGCTGACTGGCACCCCAGTGCCCAACCTGGCGAAGGTGCGACTCACACGTCAAACTGGCGATCAAACTTTGGGAGATCAGGCAATGTCACAGACGTCATCACTTTAATCGCTTTGGGAGATCGGAGAGCAGCGACAAGAACAGAATTTGCAAAGGATCATGGCCACATGCCTTTTTAATCCATGAAAATCCATGAAAATCCACAGTTCAACATTTTTCAACATTTGCAAAACCACATGAGAAACATTAAACTTCCTCTGCAGCTCAGTGCAGCTCAGCAACAAAGTCCAAGGATGGTTGCTGATGATTGGTCCGAGGGTCAGCCTTGTGACCAAAGTTGCCACTGAACTGGAGACAAAGAGTTGCGTCAGGATCCTCGTCGGATTAAGATGGATTTAGCAATTTACCACGTCGTAAACGTTGATTCATTGAGAATTTCTATGTCTACCCTCTGGTAAACATACAAAAAACTATGGAAAATCACAATTTTTAATGGGTAAATCAACTATTTCTATGGCCATTTTCAATAGTTTTTTGTATGTTGACCAGGCCGGGTACCCATCTTGGAAATCGGCTTTGGCAGCGGCAGCTACCGGCGCTCCTGGGTGTCATGTGGGAGGCACCCTCCTCCACAGCAAACAGAACTGCTCCAATGGGTGCTCCAAAGGCCGCGCTGACACCAGCCGCTGCTCCAGCCGCCACAAAGTCGCGCGCCTCCACCTGAAACAAAGACCCCAAAAAAATATCACGGAGACCCGGCAGAAACTCGCGTAATTGGCAAGTTGCCACAGACTGCTTGTAAATTTCCATCAATGGTTATTAATGGGTTATTAATGGGTTATTAATGGGTTATTAATGGGTTATTAATGGGCTATTAATGGGTTATTAATGGGTTATTAATGGGTTATTAATGGGTTATTAATGGGTTATTCATGGTTATTAATGGTTATTAATGGTTATCTAACGACTCTCTGTGCTTAAAGAAAGGTTGCGATTGCGCGTGTGGCACTGCTTTTCATCCCCTCACGTTTGGGGAAGAGACTGTCTGCCGTAACAACAGTTGCAGGTTTCTCGTTGCAACTAGGTTTCCGGGTTCACCAAGGGTTCACCAGCAGTGATATTCTGAGTTTCACTAGATCTGTCAATGGATTGGTTTAGGGGGAAATTTACAGGAAAACCCAACCATGGTTTCCTGTAAATTTTCCCTTAAACCAATCCATTGAATCTGCAACTGGCCCCAGCAATCTACCCAATTCTTATGGCATCTCTGAGCAGGTTGGTATTACCACGAGCCCAAGGAGCATCCAAGTTCAGCGGGCGCAAGCGGCGTTCCAGGTTGAAGAACCTGAGGCAGAAGCTCCCTGGGAACCCGCACTTCAGTCCCAGGCGAGGCGCTACAAACGTCAGAAAATGGGACATGTAAAGCGAATCATCAATGAGCCGACAGGTGGCGTTGCCATTGCACCAACAATAGCGCCACTGTGAATCATTGGCCCTTCCTTGCCACACGGCAAGCCTGCAACCACCTTGGACTGATTCATGAGCAAGGTGAACCGCAATTCATCCCTGTCATCTCATGCTTGTTTCCGGCAAAGTGTAATTCCAGGAAAAAAAATAAATATTAGCTATACAGATCTATACAATATATATGAGACCAAATTGGTTTCAATACTGGTGGCGAATCGAACAGCTTAACTGTATTTGGAAATGAGAATTTGGGGGGAAAGTGCTGTCCAAATGATACCTGAGGCCCCGGCGGAAAACACAATGCCTACAGCTTTGGCAAAAAGAGTCTTTGGTGACACCAGCTTTGGCAAATGGATTCCATTCCTGAAGCACCGGCTGCCCGCTAAGGACCTGTTTCGAAGTGGAGTTCTTGGGTTACAATTGCGTTCGCTGTGTGCTGGTTTATGTCCGCAACCGCCAACCGTGGGCAACTCTAACACAACCGTCCACACCATCAACGCGTCATGGAGAAATCTCGTGCTTCTTAGTCCCTATTTACGCAGGGTGTTCTGCAAGCGTGACCTACAAGACTGTTCCTTCGAAGTGTTGTCTCTGTTCAAAAAGGGTGTGGATCATGACACAGGCATAGATGGTGTCGTGCACAGCATGTTCTGCAGGATTGCTGTACTGCAGTGACCCAGAAGACAGAAGAGTGTTCCGAAAGAGTGCTCTACAAGAGCTGGCGTTTTTCCACAGGAAAATTGTTGTGCATGTATTCCTACTAAAGCATTCAAATCATTCGAGTGTTGTAGAAGCCCTTTGTCCAAGATTATTTTCCGAGCATGGACTGCAACAAATGTTGTTCAGTGTTCTGAAGAGTGTGTAGAGGCCTACAAGACCATATTTTGAATTGTCTAAAAATATGTTTCAAAGCAAATCGATGTAAAAATTTCTGTGAACGCCTCTCATTTTCGATCACAGTCACATCAGTCACTCACACATCACAAAAATGTTGCTCCGGAGTCTCTCCTGCGGAGTCCACCAAATTGCAGAGTTGCGGATGCGATTTTAGCGCAGTCGTTCAAGCAATGTCAATAGAGTCTTCTATACGAATATTGTTCATGTTTCATGATGTTTCATGTATCTTGTAAAAATGGATGGCGTTTGGATGGCGTTTGGATGGCGTTTGGAGGACGTTTGGAGGACGTTCGAACTCGTGGAAATTCCATCTGGTTGAATTTCCGTCTGCACGGCGTGGCTGGCCCTCGCTGCCAAGCAGCAAGAAACATTTGATCTCGGGAATTCCACTCCCTGCTGCAAGGACCTCTACGAAGCACACGAGGATCCCCGCTATGGCAGCAGAGCCTCAATGTCACGATTGCGGAACGAGAGTATCGAAATGTCGAAAATCTCGTATGAAAATGTATCGAATGTGCAGGTCATATTTTCTTCTCCAGCTGACGCGTGAAAAACCTGTCAATGTCACAGAAATAATTTAAGCAAGAAGCAAAGGCAAAAGCCGATGTCAGCTAGATATTGTGCCCCAATGGAGTCGGTGCTTCTGCCCACGAAGTCAATCAGTTTGATCTTCTCCTTTCAGCAGCGGTTGGAACTTCGGGTGGCGGCTCAACCTGGCTCAACCTCCACCTCAACAGCGTACCGACTGAAGCGCTGGGTGCGCAACGATGCCTCCAACAAATAGTGGAGGGACAGCTCCACAGCCACAGCCACCTTGGAAACAAATACCCTGCTCATGTACAGCGCTCAGCGCTGCACAGCCCATGGGTTTAGAAGACTTCCACATGGGGTGAGGCAAACAAAAAAAAAGTAAAAGCAAAACAAAACACGCACTTATATTGGTATTATAACCATATATGACCACTATTATTGGTATTATAACCAATTGAAACATACTGAAACCCATTAACTCCTCTTAGCCAATGAAATTCGATTCATCATTGGATCGCCTTGAAGGCTAAGCGGCTAAGCTTGAAAAAAGCGCAGCCAAGATACCAGCCCTGCACCAAGACCAATCGCCACCAGCAGCAACCAGCGCATTGCTCCAAAAGACAACCAGATACTCTGGGTGAAGCTTTTGCTAAAGAGCCCAATTCTGTCAAAGTAATCCTGCGGACAGCTGGCAGATGCCAGCAGATGCCAGCAGGCTAAAAGGAATGGTAGGTGACCAGGTGGATCAGTTTTGGGCACCAGGTTTCCGCAAAACAAGTCCAACCATCCTCAAATATCCCATCTTCTCCAGCCGTGTGCCCAACAAGGTCCCTATGTGTGGCATGCCCTTGGCTTTAACATGAAGACTGACCTCAAGGTCCTACCTGGTCACACGCAAGGATTTTGGAGGTTTTATTTGGCAGATAGAATGGCTGAGAGGCTATGCGGGCATTCATATATACATATAAGAAAGACACATGCGTGTGTATATATATACATACAGATTTATATTTACATAGGTATGCGTGTATAAACATGTTTTTTTTATGTGTGGGAATCCATGTCTACAGCGAGTCTACAGTATGTATGCATTATTTTTGAATATTTTTGATATGTCGCTCATTTTGAATATCTTTAAGTTCACTTGTAATGAACATGTTTTTTATGTTCAAATGCGTATCCTCCGACATAGTCGCTTCAGCCCAGATTGGCCAAGTTGGCGGTCATGGGTATTCAAAGTTGGCACCAAACACTAATCACATTCGCCCTGCCAAAATAAATAGTCGCGGGCAACATTAAGTAAAAAACTAGTGCTTGTTCCATCATGTTGCACAAAAATTGGAACCATACTTCAACCTACTGCCTCACAGCCACGGGATTCTCCTCATACTGATGAACAACAAGTACCCATTTGGCCCTATGAACCAATAATGCTGTCTACTGCTGAAGGGCACATTTTCATTACACAAAAATTTCCGCCAAGGCTCGATATGTTGAGCGGATTCATTGATGCCATACCTCATCGCAGAACTATCAATCAAAATGCCAAAATTGCAGACCTTGCAAACCCAATGAAACCAATGAACACGCACCATAGCTACGGTCATATTGCCTTATTGCCTTCTTCCGCAGCCATGCAAAACACCAGTCAAGAGGCCCAATTGATTCAGTGCCAGCAGGAGCAGATAGAAAATGGCTATAAACACGAGGCTGCACGGCAATGCCTGAGTTTTTGTTTGATTACAATGGAAGCTGGCAGTGGCATACCGTTCAAGTGTCTGCCACCTGGCTGAACTGCAGGACAGCACATGATTGTGCAAATCAAATGCACTTTTACAACATCACAAAAATAACTTAACTAATGCATACAAAGATCGTGACAAATAGCGTTTTGTTCCTGGCACCACCATCTCTGCTTGAACTCCGCGCCGTTCACATCAAAGGTCTGCAACTGTTGGATTACAGGATGGCCATCATTTTTCGTGAGTACACTCAAATTTTTATATAAAGCTGACGTAACACGGCAAATGATTGGTTTCAATATGGTTCAACACCTTTTTTTTCGTGACTTTGCTTGAGCCGAAAACCGACAACACGTGCAGCATTTTACCACAGAAATTATGCCCAAATCAAAGCGTAGATTTGGGCTGTTTTGACGGTGTGTAGAGAACTTCTGTTTGTCAAAATTTTGGGTAATGCATGGTAATGCAAATACCCGCAACAAAATCCTATTTGTGTGACACGATCCAACTCAAAAGAACATGATCATCCGATTTTAACTCACCTCTTGACCCTGCTGTTTGACGATGATTTTTACGTGTTTCGAAGCAGGCAAACATTTCCACAGATTGCAAGTCCTATTTTAATTTACGCCAGCAAAGACCTCAGATAACAGATAACAAACAATACTTGGGACAGCAACCACTCACCCTTCCTCTGATCACCGTGACATAGACACCTTGCAGCACCCTGCAGCACCGGGCGGCACACCGCAGCACCAGGCATCAAAGCACAAGGAAACGTGCAAAGTATGCAGCCGCAAAGTATCGCCAGCGACTTCCAAAGTCGATGAAGAGTTGGGGGCACAAGGACATTCCTAGCAATTTGCGCACACCCATGATGTTGTGGCTACATGTTCAAGGTTGCAAATTGTAATATGATTTTGATGCTACTAGTATCGCACATGCCTCGTGGTCATGCCGTGCATGTGACCATGTTCGTCCCGTACAAAAATTTCTCGCTGGATGCGACCTTAAAGATTTCATTGATTTTTCAATTAAAAGTCTTCGGAATATGCCGGGCGTTTTTTCGACGCAGAAACTCATGTTGATCAAACCTTTTCAGTCAGGACTGACAATGCGGAATTACCCTGATTTCAATTACCCGATATTATCCGCATAGACCACAGAAAACAAAAAGTATTCGTAGGCAGCACTCAAAAATGGCACCCTGCAGCGGCACCAAGACGTCACAGGCAAGTCTTGTTATGCTCGAAATAAAAATACGAATAACGTTGCTCTCTGGGGAAAAAAAGGCTGTATGAAGCTGGGAAATTAGGTTATATTTGCTATTTTGATGTGATCGAAACGGGCACTGGCACATCAATTTGGATGCGCCGTTGCCAGCGCATCATAATGGATGCACCGGTGCATCGCGAAAAACTAGAGTTTACCTTCGTGGATACAATGTTGTCTCTAAATGCGGCCCAAACTATCTCTGCGATTTTTGCTAAAGTGCTCTAATATGCAGGTCGTTTGTCCAGGACGAAAGTATAATGTTGATCCAACCTTACCAGTCAAGAATGATCATCGGTACCCCGGTTTCAAGTTTTGCACGAACCTGGGAAGCTATACCATATAGTTGTTTTACTTGTTTGTTCAAATGCTCTACGAACCTGGGAAGCTATACCATATAGTTGTTTTACTTGTTTGTTCAAATGCTCTATTCGCGGGATGCCCTGGCGCATCAACATATCCTCGAAACAAACTACATTTTCCGATTCATGATTATAATGTCGTTGCTGGATGCGAACCTGAATGTCAAACCGAATTTTTGCGAATATATTTACATATATTCTAGATTTGCTATATTTTCAGTAATGCATGATCAAAAAATGTATGTATTAAAAATCTAAAGAACATTAAAAAAATACAATATCAAAAATAATAATAAACTATAATATATGTATATACATGTAAATATCTCTATATAGATATATATGTATGTATATATACATATATACACATATATTTATATAGATATAAACATTTTTTATATATGTTTTTTATTCAAACTGGAAAAACATTATTTAATATCAAATATATAACATTCAATGTAAAAAAAATCTAATATATTCTTAGTATCAAATATATAAAATGAAATATATGATATGAAGTATAAGATACGATATGATATGATATAAGATTTATATATATATATATGTGTGTGTGTGCGTGCATAATATGAAATAGTGTGTGCATATGTTAAATGCGTTCGTTAAATCTTTCGCCCAAAAACCAAATATTTTGCAAACTCAGAAAAAATTGCGGGGTTTCATGTTGGAACCGTGGTGGCCTTTGTAATGCACAATCTGTACATGGACCTTTTGGTCGACAATCATATTTATAAATTTTGTATGTAATCACATTTTTTTTCAAAGTGAATGTTGTCCATTGGAGAAGCCAGGGTCCATATTGCAATGTGTTGCCTTCAACGTTTTGTATTTCACTCCATGTTTGGTTGCTTGGATATTCTCTCTTTGTGTTTTTATTTTGAAGCAGTGTGGTGGATGCTGCGTGGGGTGTATTTCTCGTCTGGTTGGTGCACATATTTTTGTTGTCGTCGTTGCTGTTTCTTTTTCGTTATAGTTGATGGTTGTTTTTCCTCCTCTCGTGGTTCTCGTTCCCAAGAAGTTTGGGTGGAATGCGAACTAGATTGAAAGAATAAATGTCAGTTTGGGCTGAGAACGTGTTTTCTCCAAAGTCCTGGTAAGCAAAGTTCTGATCGAGCACACACCTAGGGTTCGGAGCAATAAGTGCAATAACCAAAAACTGCCAAGTTAAAACTGACGACGTATTGCCAGTAGACCCAGAAGAACCCCAGCTCTTCGTTCACGAGACTTTTATTCATTTTTTTGAATGTTTTGTGCTACTGACGGGAGTCATTGATAAGAGTCCGCAAAAGTGGGTGTTGAACACAAAATGGAATTGAATGGCTTGTCAAAAAATAACCGTTTTGGGGAAACATGGTTTCCCAAAACGAAGCGACTACTATTTAAACTTCTTGCTTTGTCCATCCATTCTTTCGCCAAGGGTTCTCAGAGGATTTGCCCCACCACACTGCCCGCATCTTCGCGCAGGCAAAGGTTGCCAGCTGAGCGTGACATGAAATGACAAAGTTAAGTCTAAAGAGCAAAATTGTGTTGTACAAAATGGGTGAAACACTGTCGTAAACTACTGTGTTTACACTCAGACGCGTTCATTGGGAACAACTGGAACCAAGAAGCATGGGAGCACAAGTCATCCACGACAGTGCGATGAACAGAGGTCAAGCCGAGCGATGAGTTTGCTTCTTACCAAATAGAAAAAGCAGCAGCTTGGTCCAACCAGACACCCGTCAGGAACCTTGCAGAAATGTGCATGGAAACAACTTGCAACGAGGCAACCTGCATGCGAAGGAGGTGCTTCGGATGGTCCCAGGGTTGCGCATCCAAAAATTCCACATTGTTCCGGAGCAGCCGCACATCTTGCCAGTTCAAGAAGCATGGAGTAAGGGATTTCCATGCCTCACGGTCTGAAACCGTGTGATTGTAGTCACCATCTGAGCTGCCCGAAGGCGTCACGTGAAGAATCCAACGCTTCACGATGTGTCGTCAAATGCGCAACAGGTGGTGTGCTATGTTGTCACTCACCGCCGGGATGTGCAGGTTGAGCGCTTCGATTAGCAAGGTGGTTTGAACAACCCGCAGCTTGTGCCGAAACTGTTGTTATAGGTCCAATGCTGGAGAGAGCCAGGGGAAGGCCCTTCCCTGCGCCTTGCAGTGTTTGTTCGTTTGACAGTTGTTGTTTTTTCAGATAGATAGATAGATAGATGGATGGATGGATGGATGGATAGATAGATAGATGGATAGATAGATAGATAGATAGACAGACGTGCATTGATGGCTCAAAGCGGTTTCAAAAGTGAATGCGGCAGTTTTCAGCTTCACCAGAGGTCCTGCAGGATCAGGTTTTTTCTTTTTTGCATCGCGGCTCATGGTGCTGATTAGTCCATTAATCTTGCGCGCTGGTCCAGGTTCGCGGTTGGTAGTTGTTTTTCTTTGAAAAGCGATTTGAGATTGAAGGTTAGCAAGGAGGTGCTAGAGATGCAAGAGGAAGATTCAACAGCAAAGAAAGGCGTTCTAAGATCCCATCAAGGTTTACTTTTTCTTTTTTCCCCACCTGCCAAGGTGAGGGTCATTAGATTTTATCAGAATTGTTCTCCTCCTCGGCTAGCTATCCTCCTCCTCCTCCTCCGCTGCCTCCTCTGCCTCTTCTACCATCTCAGCATCTGTTCACCTCCGCCTTGCCAACTCTTCGCCAACTTCCGAGCTCAGTGAGCACCGCTGGACCTCAACCTGGGACCCTCCGAGCTCAGTCAGCACTGCTGGACCTGAACCTGGACCTTCCGAGCTCAGTGAGCACCGCTGGACCTCAACCTGGGACCCTTTGAGCTCAGTGAGCACCGCTGGGCCTCAACGGCCAGATAGCATGCCAAAAGATATGCCAGATAGAACGCCAGATGGAATGTCAGAAAGAATGCCAGAAGATATGCCAGATAAAGTGCCAGAATGTTTGCCAGATAGAATGCCATAAGATATGCCAGATAGAATGCCAGAAGATATGCCAGATAGAACGCCAGATGGAATGTCCGAAAGAATGCCAGAAGATATGCCGGATAAAGTGCCAGAATGTTTGCCAGATAGAATGCCATAAGATATGCCAGATAGAATGCCAGAAGATATGCCAGATAGAATGCCAGGAGGTTTGGCAGTAGCGAAGCGCATGGATGCCATGGTGGGGATAATTCGAAGTAAAGTTATTTTATTTTTTCTGGCGGCGCGCGATATGGTCGGCGAAAGATTCAAGTTTTGAAGGCTTCGCGTTTTCGCGGTTTTTCTTTTTCTTTGGTTCCTTTTCCGAGCATGCAAAAATGTCAAAAGGTAGCAAGCTTTCCTTTTTTCACCAAGCACTGTTCCTTCCGCATTGCCCCATTGAAAAACTAATAGTTAATGATTACCAAGGGAGGCGCGCCTAACTAAAAACAAAATAATATAAACGGCGACGCCAGGCAAGGTAATCATTATATAGTTACATTATGTAATCATAATGTTACGTTTCATTCCAGTTAGATATCTTCTATTTTGGGTGGTTCTATTTTTGGG